AAAAGGAAGATATAATCTTCATCTTTTTTAAAGCCAAGATATTTTATAGCAAATCTTTATGTCATCATCAGCATGGTCTCCTCTTCCCGACCACATTCCAATCTTTAAACAGATATTGAGATGTCACTTTTTTCTGAAGTAAAAGAAGTCTAGAGCTACCTCTCTCTAAGTTATTAGAAACATCCATGAAGAGTCTTTTTCTTTCTTCCTCCCCTAAATTAATGTGTAAATATCATTAAGTTAATTGGCATGTTACATTGTAATAGAATTACTTGGGTTGCTTGTGGTCACACTGTTGCAGCATCACTGAACTCCCTATTTATGATTTGTTCTCAATTAAAAAATCATATTATAAATCACTGACTTATTTAGCATTTATATCTTGCTTTCCTTCAAGTAAAAAACAGTTTCATCATCTTTTCTGAAAAGTCATGATTCCATTGTTCCGACCCAATATTCTAAATTTAAAAGTCCTGGCATACAGTTCTGTAGGAGGGAAGACAGAATACACTGAAGTGCTGACTCATAATAGAGCACCACTCTGAGTAAATCCTAAAACAATTCAAATTATGATCTTGTTCAAAATGAACTTTTACCATCTACAATGCTTTGAACTGATGGCAGGGTGACTTGGACTAAAATTCAGCTTCAACCAATCTAAAACCCAGTCAAAACCACTGTAGATTCTTCTACAGTGGTTTTAAGAATGCCTCCTCATTTCCCTGACTTAGAATCGTACGGTTTTGCTGGGACCTATGGCTTAAGAGAATGGTAAAAATGTCATGATATGTCAGGAGGAATGACTCAAACAATGGAAGCATATCTTGGAAAGGAGCGGATCCAAAGATGTGAGCATACAGACAGAAATTTCTGGAGACATACAATAGCTTTCACTGATCCATGAGGGTAGAACCATTAGGAAGGTAAGTGGGTGCCCCAACTTCACCCCCTTTCACTGCATCTCTGCCTCAGTCTTCTCCAAGGGATTCTACTGCTCTAGGAAATAAATTGAGGATAAAACTAGGAAAGTGGCTGCACCTTGGATCTCCTTCCTTCAGTAGTGTTCCTGGGAATATAGGCAAAGGAGCATTTCATTTTGTGGAAGTTAGAAGCAATATAAAGTTGGTAAATGCTCAAGTGTGTATCGAACCCCCTTTAAGAACTGGACAATTCAAAGAAAGCTTAGCCTCTGTGCTCAAATAGCTTATCTTTCGACAAGATAAGGAAACACATTTGAAACAAGAGTGAACAAAATGAAGTTATACATAATTCGCTGCTAAATCATCACTCCATTAATCACATTCCATATCATTTAATTTTCACACCTTGCCTCACATAACTACTTCTCTATAGGCTGAAATTCCTGTCATTCCTCTTATTGCTTAAGTGAAGGCAACTTTGAGGACAGAGGTCCATGCCCCTCACTTGCCTTCACCCTTACGCCCTGGGCCTGGTATATATAATATTCTATTTATTATTATATATGTTCAAAGTGGTTAAGAGTAATAAGAGAAAGAGATTAATGAAGATGAGGTAGTCACAAAAATTCAATTTAAAAATCTTGATCTTGCAACTCTAGGATTTGGCACATAGAAAGCTCACAATATATATGCTGTGAATGAATGGTTTGGAGAAATAAATAAAGTATTCCAGGAGAGAAAACAATATCAACAGAGAGGCATGAGAATGGCATTTTGATGAATGTGAGAGAGATTAGCCAAACTAGATCTGAAGTTGGATTACATGAAATAACAGGAAGTAAGGATCACTAGGATGGACAAATTATGGGTCTAGAAAACTCAGAAGAGAAGCTTGGGTTGGATGCCCAAGAAAACAGGGGTCTTTGAAGGTTTGGGGACCCCTGAGCTGTGGAACAAGAGTGTCTGCAGAAGATGAATATCCATGGCCTATAGGATGAGTTAGGAAAGAGGAGGCCTCGCCTAGTCTATCTATGAGCCCATGCCAGCCATCCAGGTGTGAAGTGATAGCTGGGACTGGCGGGGCCCCCCCCCCCGGCAGGTGATAGAAAGGAAGGAGGTGTGGATAAGAGGCATTTCAAAGGGAGACTCAGCAGGATTTAATAAACGCTTTTCAGTAGATCAAAATCTCTGCGTTTACCACATCTGCAACAGAAGAGATAAGAAAATGACTAACACTTGTAGAAGAAGCAAAAGATGGAAGGCTTAGGAAATAGAAGCCAGGCCTGGGGGTCAGCAACCCATGACCTTGCCCAGTAGACTTGCTAATTCATTCCTTAAAATCAGGAGGTAGCCTCACCGTTACAACTTGCTAGCCTCTTTCTTTCTTTCTTTCTTTCTTTCTTTCTTTCTTTCTTTCTTTCTTTCTTTCTTTCTTTCTTTCTTTCTTTCTTTTAAAAAATTTTTTTTAATGTTTATTTATTTCTGAGACAGAGAGAGACAGAGGATGAGTGGGGGAGGGGCAGAGAGAGGGAGACACAGAATCCGAAGCAGGCTCCAGGCTCTGAACTGTCAGCACAGAGCCTGATGCGGGGCTCAAACTCACAAACCGTGAGATCATGACCTGAGCCGAAGTCGGTCGCACAACCAACTGAGCCACCCAGGCGCCCCTTGCTTTCTGACATTGTATAAAGTCTAAGATGTAAAGAGAAAAAATATCCTAGTCCTTGTCAGTAGCAGCCTTTCCAGAACTTTCTGGAGCTTTCTGGAACTGCCAACTTCTCAGGGCAGAATTCTTCTGAGCTTGCCAAACTCTCACCTGGCCATCTCTCTTCTGAGGCTGAGAACACCCTAAGACAAGCACCCAGGGATGCCTCCACCTGTGGGAAGATTTGGGTCTCTGAACATTAGCAGGTGACAACAATTCTCAATTTCTTATTTCAGCATATACTCAATGTGATGTGTAGAAAGTGTGAACTCACTGAGTTGTAGAAATCCATCTCAGCATACACACAAAAGAAAGTACAATAGAATTAAAGAATAAAGTGAACTACAAAAGCATCATCCATTATGTACTTTCCTTATATTTTCTCTTTTGGATGGGGATATTGCATTCGCTGTAGATTCTGCCATCTGGGGGGCAACCCATTGATGCTCCCAGCATTCATATATCTGTTCAGGAGGGAAGAAGGACTTCTCTGAAGAGATAAATTGTGGTATAGCCACACAACATATAATGGAAATGATGTTATGGAACAATGTGCATAATAAACTTCATGACACAATTTCATCTGCTACTGAAAAGAAATGATCATTGCATGACATGACAGAGGTGCGAAGTAATGCTACAGTGGCAAATATATGCTGCAATATAGAAATATGCCAAACCGACCAACATGTTATACACCTTAAACTTACACAACTTATGTAAATTATATCTCAGTAAAAGTAAATTAAGAAAAATAAAGTAAAAACTTTATCTGCCCTGGAGAAAGCTCAAAAACAAAGCAGGCAAGTCGCAAAAGAATATATATATTAACATTCTATTACACAGTCTAAAACCTTGAAAGGAACTTTTTTTTTTTTTTTTTTGGTGAGGGACCCATTAATGTATAAGAAAACCTAAATACTTGTATCTGGAAGCGGGAAGAAGAATGGAGTGGGGAAAACACAATGGGGTGTACACAGGGGCTTCAACTATACCTGTAATGATTCCTTTCTTCAGCTGGGTAGTGGGTACACAGGTGTTCATTGCATAATTCCTTTCACCTTTCCATAGCTTTGAAACATTTAACAATATATTTTCTTTAAACCTTCAGTTCTTTCCTGGGGAGAAGAGTGGACATCCACGCTGGAGCAGGGCCTTTCCACCACACAGAAGTGGCTTCTCTCCCCCCTCCTCAGTGCAGGAGAGACTCACATCCACGGCAGGGAGACAAAGAAGGAGAGAGGAGACGCCTGCATAGAGCGTTCAGTTATTAAAGGGATAAATATCTTTCATTCAGCCCTTCCTAATAAACTTTTAAAAGTCCACACATTTTTATTTTTGCTGCACAAAATTCCTCCAGGAGGAGGAGGGGCGTCATTTCTTAGCATTCCTGAGCAAGGGAAAGGGTTTCCTCCTATTACAATTCTTAAGAGGGCAAACATGTGAGAGTCACCCAAAATGCTCAAATGCCTGTGCCTTGCTGGCCAACAGAAAGGGGATTAGTAAAGCACCATTAACTCCACAATGAAAACACATCAGTTTAGGGTTTTCTTTCATCCTAAACCCAGTTTATAAACACAGCCTTATCACAGGGGCATGTTTATCTGCATGTGTTACAAGTAGATTCCCAAAAAGCAACAGTAGCTAATGAAATTAAATATGATGTTGGAAAATCTCTCTGCTCCTTCCAGCAAAAATGACACAGAAGACAGGCCAGACCGTGGTTTAGCTTCAGCATCTCCTACTCTAGTTTATTTAGAAACTTTATTAAAAGTTTAAGAAAGCCAGAGATTTGAACCAAAGAATCTCCTGCTATTGCGATCACTCACACCAAATGTCTAAAGCAAGTCAAAAGACGGAGCTTTTTCATGGCTTTGCAGTGCCAGGAGTGAAGACACATTCCATTCATTTATGATCATTTATCTGAGAAGTGGCTGATGACAAAGGAAACTTAATTACAGCTTTCTTCTCCTCCTGCTTCCAACCACCCAAGGAGGTCCAAGAGCTTCCCTGATTGTTTTTATTTATACCTAAACTTTACAGAGGCTAATTTGACTGGAGACCTTAACTGGACTTTTCTCAAAGCTTTCCTTTAAGGGTTAATGTTTTGCTATTGCTATCATCTTTTTCACCAGAGGCTCACATTTGTTATGCATAGTTACTAATGAAATGATGACACAAATGGAGAGGCAGTGCCGGCTGTCACTCCCAAAGGGCCAATGTGCAAATTTAAATATGTCTCAGTTCTTAAACATCATGCATAGAAATCTGTACAGTATGTGCCATACAAAATTCCTGACAATGGCAGGATCACAGCTAAAGAGACTTGAAAGCAAAATGTAACTTACCATCTACTCTTCTCCCCTGACATGGGGATGGGGATGGGATGGGGGCAGGTCAGTAATGAAACTAAGTATGCGGTATTTTCTGAACCAAAGCCTGGAGCCTGTGGGCTCTGAAGAGTTGATGCAATCAGAAAGACGAGAATATTTGATGTTAGAACTCTCCTGGAGTGTTTGGGGTATGTGGTTTCCATGGATAGCTGAGGGTAGAAGCAGAGAGATGCAAATGTACACCCGAGGACTCCTGTGTGGAGAGAGAGAACTTTTTTTTTTTTTTAATTTTTTATAACTGACAACGTTTCTCTTGATCTCCTCTGTCTTCCCAGGATAGACAACTCACCCTATTCCACTCAGGTTGCTATAGTCTGATCTAAAGGTCTGCTGTCGAATTTGAGTGTTATTATCCCCAGCTACTGTCTAATTGTCACATCTGGTTTGTATGTCAGCCCTCCAGGGCTTCTACCCTTCCCTTTCTCCTCTTTCTCCTTGGAGGCAATCTAGTTTCCTGGCTGACTTTCACACTGTCCTGGCATTGAGAAGGAGCATCTAGTCCTGAGCAGTCCCTGGTTTGGGTTTCTCGTCTCACCCGGTCTTTGAGCATCAATTTCTCTCTTTGCCATGCCTGCTGTGGTGTGGCTTCTACCTGGTCTTTGGGAGTGTGAGGCTGGAATCCACAGACTTCTCCATTACTTACTTTTGGCTTGTTGTAGAGCTCTTGCATCCTATCCTGATCCAGACCCTTTCTGAGTTACTCATTTGCTTGTCTTCTGCATCCCTGCCTTTCTTCTGGGCCTGAGAATTCTCAGTTACTGTCTCTGTACTGCTACATAGCATATGGGGTTCTGGCAACTACCCAGACCTGCCTCCAGAGCACCTCCCCGAGACCTCACTATTTTATTGCTCTAATCCCGTGGGTTGGATTTTTCTGAGTGACTTGCAGGCTTACAAAGAAAACCTAGCACGTATCCTGATACTTATTTTCAGATTCCTTCCAAACCTATCTGGGAATTATCTTCCTACCCCTTGTCCAGGGTGTTGACCTATGAAAGGAAGGAGAGAATTAGCAATACTTTAAGGATAATAGTTTGGAGAAGGATTATCCAGAACAAAGGATAATGAAGGTTTTATTCATTCACTTATTTATTTACCCATTCATTTATAAATTTTGACTGTGCTAAACACTGTGCTGATTATGTAAGTATAAGCAAGATATGGTCCATGCTTTTAAGGAATTTCTAGTCTAGTTGAAAGCAGGCATGTTAACAGGTATTTTCAGGGCACACTGGAGACATCCAAAACGTAAATAGATAGCTTCTATACAGACTGGCAGGGCTGTATGGGGATTCAGAAAAGTTTTCTTAGAAAAGTTCATGTTTCCCTTAAGTCTTGAAAGATGGTTGGGCTATCATCAACAGGGGGACAGAGCTTTTTTGGCACTGGGAACAATAGGAGTAAAAATATAGGGACATGAAACAGAATTAGAGAGCTACAAGTATGGTATAATTTATTATAGCTGGAGCAAAGATGGTGAAGTGGGGGGAAAAGGAAGAAGTCAAGAAGGGAAAGACGGCCGGGAGAGAGATCATGAAATTAAAGAGTTATGGGGTTTTATCATAAGAACTGGAAAACCATTGAGTCTTTGAATCAAGGGAGAGATATGTCCTTTTACCTTGTAGAAAGATTATTCTTGCCACAGGGTAGAAGGTGGACTTGAGTAGGTCAAGATTGGAAGTAGGAAGGCCAGACAGGAAATGATGAGAATGTGAATAAGGGAGCAATAGTGAGAACAAAAGGAGAGAATGGCTATGAAAAATACTTAGTAGGTAGAACTGAGAAGACTTGATTACTTGCTGGTAGGAGAGGAAGAATTTGACAATGAATGGATGTTTGGGGGGGGGTAGTGGTAGAATATGCTAAGATAAAGAGTATAATACAGGAGACAGACTTTATCAGGCAGGTTTAGTTCAGTTTGGAGCACACTAAGTTTAGGGAGCTTTTGAGAAATCCAGATGGAGAGATATTTAATAGGTAATCCAATAAGTCAGGAACTAAGTGTCAAAGTCTGGGCTAATTGTATACATTCGGAAGTTGTAAGTATAGAGATAGCTGTATCAGTCTTTGCATACTTGAATATGTCTTTATTTTGCACTAATAATTTGGGCATAGGATTTTAAATGGAAATTAAGTACTGATCTGTATTCTAGTATATAGGCTTGTTGATGAGCTGTCCAATTTCCATTTTAGTCTTATTTCCTTTTATTTTCCCCCAACTCTGGGAGAACACTAGAAGGGGAAGAGAAAGAACAAAGATGAAAGCTTAGTAATACCAGCACTTTAATAGTTAAGAAAAAGATATGGACTCTTATAAAACAATCTGAGGACAAGGACTCGAAGAACCAGGAAAGCATCAAGTATTTAAAGGGAAAGGTTGAGAGGTTTTCAAGAAGGGAATAATCAACAATATAAAAATTCCAAAAAGATCAAGTAAGATCTTGATCTTTGGGCCACTTAGATTTGACAGTCAGTGGGTCATAGGTGACATTCACTAGAACAGTTTTATTCAAGTATTGGGTTGGGACTTCTGCTTCAAAATGGCAGACTGAGCACACACATCTATCTCCCTTGTCACCCAACTGAGATGACTGGAAGAATTGTTATGGAGCCTAATTCCATAACAGCACTGAGAATAAGAAGGAGAGGTCATCAGTGTACCAAAAATTTTGACAAATTTCTGGAAAACAAAAAGTAAACAAGCTTTTTACTTTATGACTAAGCAGAACCAAGTGAGCTAAAAAACAAAAGATGCACAGAAAGCCAAAGAAGCTGCTCTTCCTATGGAACCTGGAAAGTTCTGAGACTGGAGTCAGAAGGTTAATTACAACTCAAATCCAGAAAGAGACTGATAAGTTACTGTTAATGTACATGAGCAAAAATGTAAAACTGTGTGAGGGAATGGCTTTTGAGGTGTTGGACCAAGGAGTGTAGAACACAATTTTCAAGTAGGCCAAATTTATAGATATGAAAATTCTGATCAGAGATGCAATGTGCTAGTTAGAGCAACTTGGTGTGGTACAACTGTTTGCATGGGTGGAGGACTGAAATCCAGACTCAGCTATGGCCCTTGAGAAAAGAGGCTAGAATGCCCCCAAGTTCCTCACAGTAATGTAAAGAAAGGAACCAAGGAGGTAGGGAGGGGACTTACTATAGACTATTTATCACCCTCCCTTTAAACATATCCTCCAGGGCACCTGGGTAGCTCAGTTGGTTAAGTGTTGACTTCTGATTTCTGCTCAGGTCACGATCTCATGGTTCATGGGATTGAGCTCCACATCAGGCTCCTTGGTGACGGGGTGGAGCCTGTTTGGGATTCCCTCTCTCCCTCCCTCTCTCTGCCTCTCCCACCTCAAAATAAAAAAAATAAACTTAAAGCAAATATATATTCCAAGAGGGCTTAGGAGATCATTCTTTCACCAAGACATTGAGAAGTACACTGACTCCTGAGTTAAAGACAAGGGACTTCTTTATCCATGGTACCGCAAACATGAGCATGTGTGCAGCAGTTCCCCTTGTCCCCATGTCCCTCAGCAGTGATTCAGGTGGGCCCAAATGGATATGTGAGCAGGAAGTGGGTTGCATTACAAGAGAAAAATGCTGACGGGAGGGAACCTGGATCTTTACTAATGAGCAGTAAGCATGCCTGCCCTTTGGTGAAAGGGAGACACTATTTCCATCTTCCAAAGCTATAAACAAACATGTCCTTTGCTCCCAGGGGAGACACTGTCACTATCTTCTAAAGCCATTTGCCATATGAACAGAACAGATAATATGGAACAAAAGGCTGTCAGTGTCTTGCTCTCAAGACATGCAGAAGTACAAGAGACCCACAGAGAATTATCACTCAATATCCACATGGAGTCTCTACAATGTCTTAGCTTCTAGTAAAATTTTCCATTAATATGCCACTCTATTGGCCACTCTGATTAATCTGAATGACAGAGCCTGGGACCAAATCTGTTCAGTTCATCTCATACAACATTTAATTGAAGCTGCTCTCAATAGGACTGGAATCAGCAGGATGGGGCCAACCCACGATATTGATCTCAAAGATCTTGGACCTAGCAGCCAAACAAATCCCATTAACCATCAGGGTCTACCTTACTCCTTAAGTTTCTGCATTTACCTTTCCACTGGGCTTGAGGAATTGATCCTGATACAACAGGATGTATTAGCAATTACATAGACTTTGTCTTGGCAAAGCTTTGGCAAATTTCCTATATGGTAAATCTAGGGCAATTCTATTATGGACAACAACCCTGGCCATTAAATTAGGCTTCCTGGAATACTTTCTACAGCTACGGTAGTGTCATTAATCACTTTAGCTAGTCAGGGACATGTTTTTTTCACCTTTTCTAATTGGGCAACTCCTGTTATACAGATACCTGCCCACACAACATGTACATAAATAATGGGTCAGTTATCCTCTGGGAAGCTCCCCTTGATTAACCAAGGGTAGCTTCATTTTGGAGAGCTATTTACAGCTATCTGAGGACTACATTATTTACTGATGGCGTTTCCTTAAACATTTGGCGATCTCTTAAGATACCCCTAAGAAAGATACCAGTCATTTTGTTTTGGAGGGAGAAGCAAGGCAATGCCTAACTTCTTCACAAGAAGTATATTCCCAAAGACATATATGGTGCTTTCAGAAAGTATTGTGCACGATGTGGGGGCCCTTACAAGTGAGACCTCCATCATCTTTAGGTACAAGCTGATTTTCTTTGTGAAGAAGGTTCTTGGGGTGATTCTGAAAGATTTCATTAATGTCCGTCCCTCTCCTGTAATCAGCCAGGTCAAAAGTGTTTTTTTTCCAGGTGTCAGGATTGTTGTTCTCCCTTCACTGCCACAAAATTGCTGTGTCTCTTTTTAGTAGCCACAATTACATTGTTTCTCCAGTCATTACCTATAGGCTCTCCAACTAGAAGGATCAGATTCACAATGGACAAGAACATTTCTATAGAACACACAGAGACCAACACAGAGCACCTCAGAGGTATTCAACAAGCAGTATTCTCAACCAAGTGGTTGTTACGATATAGGATCAAGTTAGTCCAGTAAGGGAACACAGGTGGCTGACTCAGAAATAAGCTTAAATTCACCAGCCTACCTTTTAATTGGGCTGCCACCTAGAGGGTATATCAATTAGCCTGGCTTGGAGTCATCACTGGGAAGCAGAAAGAGTCATTG